TATCTATCTATCTATCTATCTCTATCTATCTATCTATCTATCTATCTATCTATCTATCTATCTATCTATCTATCTATCTATCTATCTATCTATCATCTACCTCAGATGAAAAATATCTAATCACAAAACATTTAAAATAACCTGCCATTCTTTTTACAGTAATCTGTAACACAAAATAAAACTCTGCTGAAGCTACTAAAGGCTGGCCACTTCCAAAATTTAATAGATAGGACTTTTCTTATATCCAGAATGGACTCTTTATGTGACAGATGCAAAGCAAGGTAGAAATGTAAATATTCAAAAAATAAAATTAGGATGAAGCTCAGCATCCAAATATATGGGACTCTGAGGATGAATTCTCCAGCAATAATGGAGTGAGCTCCCATTACTTGTCCCAGCTTCTGCCAACCTAGCAGTTTGAAAGCAGATAAAAAATGCAAGTAGAAAAATAGGAACCACCTTTGGTGGAAAGGTAACAGTGTTCTACGTGCCTTCGGCATTTAGTCATGTCGGCCACATGACCACCGAGATGTCTTCGGACAGCGCTGGCTCTTCATCTTTGAAACGGGGATGAGCACTGCCCCCTAGTGCCGGAAATGACTAGCACGCATGTGCGTGGGAAACTTTACCTTACATTTCAAAGCACAGATTTATTCTCTTAAAATACATCACGCTGCCTTATAGTTACTGATAAATTAGAATCCACTTTAAAGGGTTCAGTGTCAATGATACTCATTTATTTTTGTCTGCTTCCAGTTACAAAGATTCTAGTCAGCTTCTGTCTCAAAAGAGAAGAAGAAAAACTCTAGAAAATAAGTCAACACAAAAATACAGGACTTGATGGAATAAGACTAAATCCATATCCCCCTGAGCTCTTCCTCCAATTGAATTGCATCTTCTTTCATGAGAGTTTATTGGAAACTGACAGTCTTAATTGCTTTCTGCACTTTTAGCAAAGAAACAGTCGTTCTCATGCAACTCTCACAAATACTTATCAATGGGCATCTGGATTTTGTAATCAGGAGTGATTTCTAAAATTACTTTTAAAAACAGCCCAATGTAGAGTCCGTTGTAGGAAACTAAGCATAATACAACAAGAAGGTGAACAGTTAATGGAAAAATTAGGAAATTGAATTTGTTTTCAAGATTTAGTTGAAACCTTGAAAGCCAAGGAGTTTGAAGACTATTAGAATAAGTAGACTACACAATAAAAATGGCATATCTTCATGCACCCATTGTCTGTTGAGGTTGCATCAATAAATATCTGCTACAACATATTACTCCAGTCATGGTTTGAAAGGACTTCCAAAACAAATTGTGTCCCCATCGAAGTAAGTGCATAAGAAGAAGAAAAAAGACCTACTGGATAGTAGTTACAATCTAGTAGTAACCCCCTTGCTTACTAGTGGATTTTCCTGACTAAAAATTGATAGCTACTCCTTTGCCTACTAATGGATTTTCCTGACTTAAAATCAATAGCAGAATTTGGTGGGAGAGGAGGATAGGTGAGGAATATAGCTTACTAGCTGGATACCTGTGCTTCATGATTAAACTATGTGATCGGGCAATGCAGGAGAAATCTGGTTCACTCCGGTTCAATCTGTTGGCTTAGTGTTGGTTGGTGATTGAAACACATAAGGGAATATCGCTCCCGCTGCCTTGAGTCCGGAAGCAGTTCCATAGGTGGAAGGCATAGAGATTTTGGTGAGGTACCATCATTTTTTACTGTAAGGAGCCTCAGACCACTCCTGAGTGAAGGCGTGGAACGTCTGCCAGTTTGAACTGAGGTAACAGAATGTGAGGCAACCAGCAGTTGGAAAAGAGTTGTTTCAGGTGGGGAGAGGGAGTGGAATGTCTAATGCTTTAGCATCAGAGCATGTTAATATAAGGCAACTGGCAGTTGGAACAGAGTTCTTTTCAGGTAGGAAGGGGGAGTAGAACTCCTTAGCATCACAGCGTGTTAATTACTGTATAAGAAATACTAATGATCGGATGGTCATTTTGAAA